GTCATACTTCACAATTTCGAACATAAACAATAAACATACCTTCAGTCGTGGCCAGTAGAAGAAACTCTGGATTCGTTGATATATTGCTTGTAAACCCGAGTATCCTCCCTGAGTGGAGTTATGTAAACCTTGTATAAGATGTAATCGAAGGCTCGTATTTTCCCCAATATAGACCCTATTCTCATATCAAATAATGCCCTTGGAATAGGACCATTTCACATACTTATTGGTATTAATAGAAAGAATAAGAATCCTTGAGCTACAGTGTCATTTTTTAGCTTCCTTCCACTTCATTGACCCAAGTAGGAACAATAGTTGTTATTCCCATAATTTCTCCTTCATATTGCTCTTCAAATCACCTAGAAAGGGCATCTATCACTACATGTGATTTTCCCTTTTGATATTGGATTGTGTAATCTAAGCCCAATAATTTGGTTAATCCTCGTTTCTGCACTGTCGTTGTAAGCTTTTGTTCGAGAAGATACTTCAATGGTTCATGGTTTGTTTTGATCACAAATTGGTCGCCCTCCAATTAATGACGCTATTCAGATTTATTAATAATATTGCTAAGTATTCTCGTTTATAAATCGAAATGTATGCATGTCTTGGGCTTAATGCCTTTCTTAAATAAGCAATTGGGTGTCATTCTTGTGATAAAACTGCACTTATCCCTTTAGAACTAGCATCCGTCTCCAAATAAAAACACTTTGAAAAATTAGGTAATGCCAAAACTGAGGCTGAGCACATTATTTTCTTCAATGAATCAAAAGCTTGGATACCTTGATTCGACCACTTAAAATTATTTTTCTTCATCATCTGTGTCAAAGGTCGACTAATTACACCATAGTCCTTAATAAACCTTCGATAATACCCTATAAAACCCAAGAAACCTCGAAGTGATTTAAAATTTTTGGGGCTTGGCCAATCTTCCATTGCTTGAACCTTGGTTGGATTTGTTGCCACCCCTGCGCTGAAATCACGTCCCAAGTGCTCAACTTTCTTTTGACCGAAAAAGCATTTAGATTTCTTTGCAAATAGTTAATTATCTTATAATGTCTGTAAAACTTGTCTCAAATGGCTGACATGGTCCTCTATAGTTGTGTTATACACTAGAATGTAATATAAAAAAAAGACTAATACAAACTTTCAAAGATAAGATGAATATAAGTCATTCATAAGAGCTTGAAAAGTAGCAGGGGCATTGGTAAGACCAAAAGGCATTACCGTAAATTCGAAATGTCCTTGGTGTGTTATGAATGTCATCTTGTAAATATCTTTCATTTTGATTCAAATTTGTCAATACCTCGATCGTAAATCCAGCTTCGAATAGTAGACTGCCCCACTAAGTTCATCCAACAAGTCTTCGACTACTTGAATTGGAAATTTGTTCTTGATTGTCAATTGATCGAGTCTTCGATAATGCTTTCAAAAATGCCAAGTTTCATCTTTCTTTTTAATGAGTAGACAGGGTAAAGCAAAGGGACTTTTACTAGGTTGAATAATTGAGGCAACCAACATAGAGTTGATTTTCTTTTCCACCTCAGTGTTCTGATGGTGAGCAAATCTATAAGGGTGTAGATTCACTAGTGTAGCATCCGGTTTGAGTGAAATGGCATGATCGTGATATCGAGCAAGTGGTAACCCTTTTGGTTCTTCAAAAATTACCTCAAACTCCTTCAATAAGGGGTTGTATAGGTCTAGGTATTTCTGACTCAAGAACTTCAGTACTTAACATAAAGAAGTGACCTTTTAAGTCTAGATCGGAGACTGCCATCTTGTAATGAGCAAGACCATCTAGTTGCTTGAGTGGGGCAGATTTGTGTATTGTTTCAATTACAATATGCTTGTCATGCCTCATAAAACTTAATGTTATTTTGTTGAAGTCCATGAGGATAGGACTGTAGAGCTTCATCCAATCGATGTCAAGCACCATGTCACTACCCCTAGTTGTAACACTCAAAAATCATGGGTGAAGGCTTGTCCTTGCATTACCTACGTAACTTGGTTACATTTTACTGAGCTAAATAATTTCTTACCGTTTGCCACTGTAATTGCTAACGGTTAGGTTTGAATCATCTCAATTCCAACACTATCCCATTTAGAAGTTAAGAAACTATAGGTACTCCCTGTATCAATAAGGATACTCAATTGTTTTCCTTTAATGGTTTCATGTATACGCAATGTGTGATGCCCTATACAACCAATAATGGCATTAATTGAAATTTCCAAAGTTTTTTCAGTGTTTTCTTCCTGTTTCGTACTATCCTGCTCTAGTGATTCAATATGCTCTTCCAAATTATCCTCTTCTATCAGGTGTAATTGTCTCATCTTGCATTGGCGATGTGGGTTGAACTTTTCCCCACATTTGAAATACAAGCTATTTTGTTTCCTATACTCCATGAGGATGTTTTTATTTGTGGTAGCTATGGTTGACTTTTGTTGAAAGAAAGTTGGGTTATTTTTGGAGTAATTTATGGAGTTAGGGGGTTTGGGGTGGGTGGGTTTCAAAAATTCAACCTTTGTCTCTTGTTCTCATATTCCACAGACAACTCATATAGCTTGGCTTGCCTATATGCTTCAGATAAAGTTCTTGAATTCAGTGCCTTACCCGATGTTTCAACTCTTCTTTCAAACCACTGATGGAAATTGACACAAAAAAGTCCTCCCCCAAAGTAGGATTTTGTAGCAACACAAACGATTTCAATTCATCGAACTTATCTTGGTACTCCTCAATAGTTACCTTCTATATTAGTTTACTGAATTCGTCCATAACATCAGTAAAAGCTTTGTCATTAAATCTGTGGCAGAGGTTTGCCTCAAACTCGTGCCATTCCACTCAAAATTTCTGCAGAACGTACCCATCGAACCACGTTTATGCCTTTCCCACCAAATACATGGCTGCCACTTCAAGCCTTTATTCGTGAGGAACTCCCATCAAGTGAAAATATTTGTGACACTTTTAAAGCCAACCCCTTGGGTTAGTGCCATCAAACATAGGTAACTCCACTTTTGGTCTAAACATTAGAGGACTAGTCCCTCCAAAGGATCTTCCCTGTCATTTTCTCTAATTCTCGTCCTCGACAATTTTCTGTTTACTACCACTATGGTCGCCCAGATGTTTACCAATCTAAACAACTTGAGAACTAGTATTAAAATCATTAGGCCTCGATTTAAGGATTTCATGTTCATTTGGGTTATATGAATACATAATCTTGTCATCAATCACAGTGACTAGCATAGGTTTTTTTGGTATCACTCTTAGAGAGAGTAAGAGGATTTACCTGCTCATTTTCAGAACTGGAGTGCTCCTAATCGGCTTTCCTTTCAGTTAATATCTTCAATATTTTCACCACATAACCTTGGTTCATTGTCATTACTGTTTCCAAGCTCGTAATACTATTATCTTTAGCTTCCCACCATTTTGGAGGATATGTTTCCTCTGTCGCATGTTTCACTAGCTTAGTGAGGTCTTCAATATGTTTTTTCAATGCAAAAAGGTCGGTAGGATCTGCAATTGACTGATTTTTCCTTGGCATTCCAGTTTAATGTTTGCTAGGATTTACGGCTCTAGATACCGATTTGTTAGGTTTAGAGTAGAACATGGAGGTTTTAGAAGAGAAAAATGAAGAAGAAAGGGAAATTGAGAGAAAATAAATTCATTCATAGATTTTTCATGAAGATAGCATTCTCAGGTATACAAATTTTATTTGATTACATAGGTACAAAATGTAAAAAAGATGTTGTCATATGTTGTCCTTGCATAACAAATCCATCATATCTATTCCTCATTTAATATTAAATCATGCAAGTCTTCTTTCATTTTACACGTGCTCTTTTGGATGAAACCAAATCCCCAATTTCTCAAATGAAATCCCTAACCATTGCTTCAACATTTCCCCTCTTTTCTTGTCGAGTCTCCATTCCTTCTCTCTTTCTTGCCTTGTTTCCTCCTCTCCAATCGTGACACTTCTTTAAAGACAGATAAGTGAACTATTAAAGACTTTGTTTTAGATCAATTTATTAGTTAAAATTTTTTACATTCATAGTTGTTCTAGCTTTAATCATAACATAGTGATAGTCTTATATTTCAAATACTCTTAAGTACTCAACTTAACTAAAAAAAATTAAAAAAATTGAATGATAAAATAATACTCTTAAACTTCATTCAATTTTTTTTCATTTAATTCAATCAAATACCCAACTCTAATTATTTGAAGAGTGAATAAGGTCATATAGTAACCATAGATATGAACCACTTAAAAACAAAAACAAAACTATAAATCATACATCAAGCCCACCTCAAATTGCCTAGCCGATAAGTATTCTTCTTTGAAGGGGAACTCAAAAAGGATAGAAAACACAGATTCCCCAACTCTTATTGCTTCTTTTTCCCCACTATCAAATCAAGCATTTCTCACTAACAAATCTTACAACTTTACAAGACAAGATCTAGATGAGTTCATTGAACACTAAATCTTTTGACGTACCGTTTTCCTTTTTATAATATTAACAAATAGTTTCCATGTTACACATTAATACCTATATGTAGGCATTGCTCCTTAAAAGTTAACTTTGGTCCAATTAATTAATGCCCTAACATTCCAAATATGCTATACGGCGTAAACGTACTGCAGAAATACTAGATGTGGTATGAATGACACATAAAAAATCTTCACTTTTTTATCATGTATTTAATTCCTCCATTACCTTAAATGGCATCCTAGAAGCTTCTTTGGTAATAAACAATTCCTAAAGCATGCATTTAAGAATTGTTTATGCCAACAAGCGTTCCATGACTATTGGATCATAAACCATTGTCAAGGAGACATCAACAACCCACTAGCTTTTTTTTAAAGTTTTTAGATATTGAAATTCGATTTTAAATATTAAATATTATTTTTTAAATTATATAAATAACTAATAAAGATACGATATAAATATTAAGATCCAAACTTATACCTATTTATTCTTAAAAATAAAACATCGGCTTTCAAAGTAAATAAACGTGTTTTTTTAGGTCTAGGAGGAGTCAAATTACGTCTATCTTGTTACTATGACAATGTAGTTCGTGATCGTGTTAAGGAATCACGATCGTGTAGTAAACAACGACTGTCGATATGTGATTGGTTAAAAGAGACTGAGCTGGTTAGCACCTAGACATTTAACACTTGTACTAAATTGAGAGGATATTACGAAGTACAATAAAGAAGGAATTCAAGCTGAAATTTCGTTTCGAAGATCCTGTCTTCCTAATGAGATCATTAAAATGTATTAAAAAAAGAGGGGGGTGAGGGGGTGAAACATTGAACTGACATGACTGAAGAGATATATAAGAGGGTTAAGCTAAGAACTTGTGTCATACAATCTGGAGACAACAATTTTTATTAAGAAAAAGATCTTGTAATAATGGTTAGAATGATGGGTTGGGAAGATTCAAAAATAGGGTTGAAGAAAGGTCCTTGGACTCCTGAAGAAGATAAACTTCTTACTCAGTATGTTAGCTTGCATGGTGAAGGAAGATGGAGTTCAGTAGCTAGATCTGCAGGTACAATTTAACTACCATACATACATATATCAGTTCCTTAGCTAAATTAAATGAAGAATATCAAGTGAATTATGGGGGGTTTTCCCTTTTTTCCAGGTTTGAATAGGAGTGGGAAGAGTTGCATGCTTAGGTGGGTGAATTATCTAAGGCCAGGTCTTAAAAGAGGTCATATAACACTTCAAGAGGAAGGGATCATTATTGAATTGCATGCACTTTGGGGTAACAAGTAATAATGCTTCTTTTTTTATCATTATTTCTCTTTATCTATAATATATATATATATATATATATATATATATGTGTGTGTGTGTGTGTGTGTGTGTTATGATTATGGTGTTTAATTTGTATGTGAAAAAACAAACAGATGGTCTACAATTGCAAGATACCTTCCAGGGAGAACAGATAATGAGATAAAGAACTATTGGAGAACCCATTTTAAGAAGGAAAAGTCCTCTCTGAAGCAACAACAAAGAAAAGCTCAGATTCTAAAGCTAAAGCAACAACAGCAGCAAAAGGAAAAACCAGATAAAAAAGAAGCTGGAGATTATGGAAAAGTAAACAGTGAATCAATCGAAACCACTGATCAGATACCAAAAGGGAAACATGAGATGGTATTCATGTACCCTACTTCAGAGGATCAGTGCTTGTCTCAAGAGCCAGCTTCTTACGCTGCTGCAAATGCAGCTTCTTGGATGGATCAGTACCTGGTGGATGAAGGGTTATGGGGTGGATGGTGGAACCTAGATGACGATCATCAGGCTGATAACTGTTGCAACAAGATTGACATGCATCACCAAGCAAATACAGGTTGTTATAATTGCTTTGGAGGGAATGCAAGCAATGTGTACAATGGAGGGTACATTTTTTAATCATTTAATTTTGGAACCTTGTTGACTTTTGGGCTGTATTTTCCAGGAACTTCTCCATTAGCTACTTGTTGGAAAGATTAATTAATTACTAGTTTTTAGGAATTAAGATGGGTGTAACATTGTTAGCATAAGCATTTAAGAATGTGATTGTGAAATCATATGAGTTTACTGATAAATCACTATGTAAGGGTCCTATGAATAATCAGATCCAACTAAACTCAACAAGTACAATACCAAAAAAAAAGAACTACTAGAATTCCTCGAAGATGTCAATGTCCTAACACGAGCATAAACAGCACCTCAATAGCACAAAATGGAATTTATAAAATCAAATAAAAAAATATTCGATGGAACTCGTCAAGCCGAGGTGACGAGTTCCTTCGAATTAAAGAAAACTAGTTGTTGGCTAGCCGTTATTCAACGGGCAAATGGGTAGCAACGGTCACTCGGAACTCGTCACCTCGAGGTGACAAGTTTGGTCGGGTATTTCAAAACACTAGTCGTTTATAGTCGTTAGTGGTAAGGCTATAAATATGGGTCTGGAGTTTTTATTTTTCACCAAACCCTGAATCCAAATTTTTTTTTAAAAAACATATGTTGAGAAAAAATCTCGAAAAATGACAACCGAGAATATATGTTGCGCATGGATAATGTCCATATTTCATCGATCCAATGCGGGCCGGACGACAAATGGAATATTTGTAATTGGGGGATGACAACCAGAGGGTCGCATCAACAAATGATGACATATCTGCATCAATCTGGTCTATTTCTGGCTATATTTTTATGTGGCTTCAAGGTGTACTTGACGTTGATCGAGGCTCTGATCAAACGTTAGCGCCCTGAGACATACACATTCCATTTCCCGAGTGGTGAAGAGACGATTACTTTGGAAAAACGTCGCTTACCAACTCGGTGTTCCTGTGAATGGAGCCCCCGCGGTGAGGCAGAACATGTACGACCTCTCGACGTTGGTATACCAAGTTCTGGGAAAATGGCTACCATCCGATGACATGAGGGGCTATCGGGTAATGATAATGTGGTTGGTGTATGAATTCGAAGTGATTGTAGAGTCTACCGAGGTGGAGGTTGTTTTCGCGTCCCGAGCATTTCTTCTCCAAGTGATCGGAGGGATATTATTATCGGATAAATTAGGTAATCTGGTGCACACTCAGTATTTGCAAATTTTAGAAGACTTTGATGTGTGTCGTAACACTAGTTAGGGCTCGGCGATTCTAGCCTTTCTGTACCGGGAGCTTTGTAAAGCTGCAATTGTAACGTCGGGTCAAAAAGCTGATGTAACAGGCTGTCTGATACTGCTACAGTCCTGGGCTTGGTATCACTTCTCGTTTTTTTACGCCAATTACAGAAGCCCCAGTCGATTTTCCGCTGGCTGATAGATAATTGTTTAACTTCATTTATTTAACTTTTTTAATTTCATAAATTTATTTATTATTTATTTGTTTATAATAATTTTTTATTTTTAAATATTTTAGATAACATCATAAAATATCAAAGACGAAGTTGGCGGGTGCCACTGCATGAGACATACGGATGAGGATTGACATCGTCGGTTGTTTCACGGTATGATATACAAAATTATCATTATTTTTTAAATCTTTTTAACTTTTATATACTAACTTTGATATTTAATATTTACAGTTCTCTTGGCTTCCGTATGTCGACGAGGAGATCAACCAGGTATTGTCAGGGTATTTTTTAGGGGTCCCACTTATGGTGTGTCATGACGTCGTTATTGCACAAAGCGATTGTTGAATGACACACGGTTGATATAGTGATACGCCAGTTTACACTGCACCAACCGATTCCTCCGCAAATGGAGGTTGATATGGACGAGCTCAATTCATTGATGCGCGTGGGAAACATAATGAAAATTGGTCGACGCGACACACTTACTACATCAACCGATGAAATCAGCGTGAAAAATCACTCCCCCATCGTTAGGACATTACACTACTGGACTTAGATTTTAACCATTCTCCCTATCTCGGGCTTTACGAAGAAAATGGCAAACTATATCTCATGACACCGAAAGAGGGGGCAAAATGGAAACATCATCAGGCCACATGCACCAAGTCCAAGTCCAAATCCAAGAAGAAAGCATCGTCATTGTCGTCTTCCGCTTCGACATCTATGGCTGAAGAGTACTATTATGCATCTCATGCTAGTTTCAGTTTCTTTCCTCCATATCATACCTCAGCCGAGACTCGGCCGACTTAGGTTGGAGGTTCATAGGATGCACCGTAGTAAACTCAAGCATCTTCGACAAAACATGTGGTTGCAGGTGATTGGGATCATATCTTATATGGTCAACAAAGTAGCAGTCATGTCGAAGCAGTTACGGCGATGATGGCATCAAATGTCATAAATTCATCACCGTATTTCGAAGGTAGACCGCAAAGTGTATTGGATACACCTCCTTGACAAGACAATGACAACAACGATTAAGGCATACGACCCCATCGTACTCGACAAACCCTGCGACATTATCATTCGACCACTCCGCTGCATCGTTAAAAACTTAGAAGACATATATAAATTTTCTTTGTAATTTTCATGCAAAAATTTTTTACAATTAACTTACTTTGTATTTCATAAAATTTAAATAAACTAATTTTTCTTTTAATTTTAATTTTTTTTAAAATTATTACCGACCAAAGACGAGTTCTAAGTGACCGTTGCTACCCGTTGAACAACGACTAGCCAATGGTTAGTTTTTTTTTTAATTCGAAGATGACGAGTTTCATTGAATATTTTTATTTGATTTTATAAATTTTTTTTTTAATATTTTTAATGGACTCGTCAGCTCGGAGTGACGAAAGTCCTTATAACACCATTAGAATAATAACCTACGTGGGGCCCATTACGCATGGACCATTAAAAAATAATATCTCATGAAACTCGTCAAGGTGACCAGTTCGGAGTGGACTGTAGCATTTATCGTATTTTACTAAAAAAAGTTTGGGTAGGATACCCTAATATTTTTACCCGTTATTGAGCCCAAAAAACCAATCAATAACCAGAGTTTGGCCCAAAGTGCCCACAACTCCATGAAAATAATTAGCGGGAAAAAGGCAAATTTTGACCAGGTAGGTCTCGAACCTGCAAGCTCCCCGTTATTAGCACAACACTCTAACCAACTAAGCTAATAAGCCTGTTTTTCTTTTATCAAGCAATTTTAAATTTTTTTAGCAAACATAGAAATGCATTACAGTCAATCACTGAATCGATAAAGTTTTAGATGTCTGGACCGATACAGAGCAGAAAATGGAACACATAACAGCAAGCGAAGTTGCAGGCTTTGGAGTTGGTACTTTGTTACTGTGTGCTACAATCGCTGCCCCCAAAGTTGATGCTTTCATTTCTGCTTCACAAAGAAGGTAACTGAACTTCTCGAAGCCCATTTTTTGTTTTGTTTCCAAGCTTTTTTACTTTGCAAGTAAAACCCAGATTTCTAGAAGTATTAAAACATGGAAAAAGTTAATTTTTTTTTGTTCTGGGTATGGGTAAAATTTGGTGTTTTGATTATTAGCTTGGTTCATGAATTTTGAGTTGTGACATCTTTTGTTTATTTTGATATGGCTTTTGTTGTTCAATTTGTTGGTTTAAAATTGGATGTCAAGTGGAAATGCTATCATTGTACTTCAATTCAATGCCTTTTGTATCCCTGTGATAGATTTTAATTGTGGGGTTGTTTGAATTTTTATGAAATGATTGCTATATCTTCTTGTTTGATTTATGTTCTTTGTGATGATTCTATATCAAAAGAATGTACTGGCCAACACAGAATTTTGCCCCAAAAAAAAAAAAACTCCCCTTCCAGAAAATTCTGGTGGTGTAAGTAATTAATTATTGTGTAACAGAAAATTGTTTTTATTGTCATCTTATGCTAGGGCAAAACTGAAGTGGCCTGGAAGGAACCTAGGATTTAGCCTATTTTGTTCACATGGTAACTTTTAAGGGGTGACATTTAGCAGGTTTAGAGTTCGAATTCTGAAATCCATAATCCCTTCACGTGTCTCCAAGTCATGACCTCCTTTGCACGAAATTTAAATATAATCGGTTTCGGAACCATCGGCTTTGCGATGTTGTTTATCGTGCTATGGTACTTGTGATTCACTTATCTTAGGAAAACTCGACTAGTGTATAATGTATATAAAGGTTGCCTTTTTTGTTTTTTCTGATAATAAAAAGGATTAAGCTAGGAATGCTTTAGGAGGGGAAACGGATAAAGCTCTAGTCTTATTGTCGAGTGAATGAACTGGATCAATTTCTTTCTGAACTAAGTTGCCCATCAGCTTTAGCGTATTAAGGTAGGTGACATGCATTATCTATATCATGAGGTTCCCCACTTTTATTCAACTTTGATAAGAAAAAGAGACCTTCTAGGATGTGTTTATTTGGCTTCTGTAATCTACACGGTTAGTATCATTGTTAATACGGAGCACGAGCTGATATGCAACCTGTTAAACTTGCAGTTCGTTGGGCTTGTGCAAGAGATGTGGTGGTCTACAGGTGATAACATGCTTGAGATGCAGAGGAACTGGATTAATCAAAGCAAATGGACCGTTCGGTTTTAACCTTATCGATAATTTGAATCAGTCCGAGGAATTTAAGGTAAAATCTGTTGGATGTACAAAATGTCAAGCTAGAGGTTACTTCAGCTGTCCTGATTGCTCTAATACATCTACTAGTTGGTTCCTGATCGTGCCATGGAAGACATTTTTACTCTTGTGCTCATGTTTAGCATATGATCATTACCTTTCTTTCAAAAGCCATTGTATGTACACTGGATTTTGCAAACCAACTTGTGGATGAAGTTTTGTGACAATGACTCCTAGTTATACCGGTTTTATTTATCGATCTTAATGTTATGATGATGTCTTCTGAAACAAGTATTTAGGAAAAATGAAGAGCCGAACACTTTGAATGAAAAGAATTTAGGAATCCCACTTGTAGATGTAGGTTTGTCAGAGTGGGTTGCTGTTTCAAGTGTTTCATTATCAATCCCAAAGCTATAATGGATGTCATATATTTCCTTGTTTCGATATTTAAGGATTGTGTGGACGATAAACGAGTTGAATTCAAGTAACTTATGAACAGTATCTCCTCCCCCCCCCCCCCCCGCGCGGAAAACCTGTGGCATGCTTCAGATATAATCATTGCAGCCCCATATCTCTCAACATCTGAAAATCCACTCCTTGACCTATAGAGATACATATATGATTATGACATTATTATTATCCACTTGCAGCATACCACAAATTCATTTTCTTTCTTCGGTTGAATTCGATTATAATCACGTCCCAAATGTACCGAGCCACTGTTGAAGAATCGACAACTCACATTCACCTCATTCATCTGTATTTTAGAAGCTTTTCGTTTTCAAGCATTTTTTCCTTTTACTGAATTCTCCCCAGGTGATGATCATGTCGTTGAGTGGATATGCAAATCCACCACTAATACATAAAATCTTGTCAAATTTTCATCATTTTCACTTTTGTTTTACTGTCCATCATCTGCAACTATCCGAACGAGCTCAAAGTAAAACACCATATATCATTTCGAATTTTCATTTTCTATAAAATATTTGTGTAACATGGCATGTATTCATTGAACGAAGTGATTTTTCTTCCCCCCTTTCCTACTAGCTTTTGCAGCGTGCATTGAATCCAACCACTTCAAATGGGCATCACGTTGATCATGAATAACTTTAGGTTTTAGCTTCTTTTGCAAACCCCATGTTCTCAAACAGCGATTAGATTGAGATTGAGATTGAGATTGAGATTGAGATTGACATGGTGTGCAAAAGTTAAGATGAATCAAAGGTTAAAAAGGTGGATGTGATCAGAATACTAAAATTAGCATTGTGTCATTGATATGTCCTTTCTCCGCTTTTCATTTTTGTGCATCTTTTGGTTCATGATATTCGCTCATCGGCCCGTGCCTGGTGGGATATTTCAACCAAGTCGATTACATTAACTGATATTATTCGATTTGGTTAGTTCGATTTTAGTCACAATTAAATCATGTTTATCGATGATTAGTTTATGTTAATTCGATCGATTAATTAAATTAAATAATTTTAAATATTACTCTTTAAAAGGTATTGCTGAGCTCTAGAGCCTCTTTTGCCTGATGCAATTACTGTACAGTACTTGGCATGCGACGAAAGAGGCAGAAAAATCAGGAGGGCTGGGGAAAAATCTGACGACGGTGTTTCTGCTGTCAAAAAATCGACACGTGTCCTTCAGTGGTTTTCGACTCTCTATATTTTCGCTTTTAAAAAAAAAACTCTCTAGATTTACGCCGTCGTTATTTGTTCGTACGACCCTGATACTCTGAGCGTCGCTAGTTTTGATTTCACGGGCCAATAAAATAAGGGCACGTGTTGCGAAGATTGATCTTTGTAAAACTTTTGACTGGATCCGACAAATTAGATTTTGTGGAAATCCAAGGTTCAGTTACTTTTAACGCGCGTCTTACAATCTAATTTATTTTTAAAGACTTAATTGCATCACGTTTCCTTAAATTATAACTCTTATTTTGAATTAGTTTTTAAATTTTTAAACGTTCCAATTTAATACCTAAACTATGACTATTGTTTTAAATTAGTCCTCAAATTTTTTGAACATTTCATTTTCATTCTCGAACTATGACCTTTATTCTAAATTACTCCCAAAACTTTTTGAACATTTCAATTCCATCCCAAACTATATGTATATACTAATCACATACTTTGCTAATAAAATCGATATACCAAGTTATATTATTATATGTTTGAATAAAATGAAGTTTAGGTTAAACTATTCTTGAAACTAATTACATATTTGGATGACTTTTGGGATGAAAAAGGTTCAAAAGTTTGATGATCAATTTAGTATGAGTGTCATAGTTTGGTATAAAATTAGAATGTTCAAAATTTTAAGGATTAATTTAGAATGAAAGTCAAAGTTTAGGGATTAAAATGGAATATTCAAAAGTTTAAGGATCAATTTAAAATAAGATTATATTTCAAGGACATATGATGTAATTAACTCATTTTTAAATTAATATCATTTTATGCCAAATAATATAAAGATGTTTGATTTTCAATAATCTATTTATTTTATATATTTGGTAAATAGGTCGAAATTTCAAAGGTCAATTTACTGAATAAGCCTTTTTTGGCTTTGCTTAAAAAATGAACTTAAAGTTTTGTTTGTTTCCTTTTAATTGATTTTATAGAAATTGATTTTACTTTTTTTTACTGTTTGGTTGACAGAAAATATATGGTTAATTTAATTTATTTTTCTAGTCAACTGAATTTATTTTTTATTTTTTAAAAAATGATTTATAGTCTAATTTTTTATAAGTCATTTTAAGAACTTTTCAATTCAAAATATAAACATTCAAATATTATTTTATATATTTAATATATATATTATTTTAGTATCATTTTAATAAAATAGTCATTAAAATATTCATTGATATTTTAATAATATTAATATTATATATATATATTATACTATTTTAATAATAAATATCATTAATGAAATTTAATTTATTTATTAATTTCATAAAAATAATATTATAAAATTATTGAATATTTAAAGTATACTCCTTAAAATATAACATAATATTCTTATTTTAATATTATAGTTTTCAATATCTTAATAATATTATTATTTTGATAAGTAATTAATATAATTAATAATATATTATTCTTATTTTAATAAATAATTAATATACTTTATAATAATTTTACTTAATAAATATAATAATCATAATATTTTTATAAAAATTATAGACATAATATTTTAACAATAATATTGACATAAATAATATTAAATAAGTTATTCTAGTATTTTAAAAATAATATTATTATTTTATTAATAAATAGTATTAGTTATTGTATTTGATGTTTATAATTAAGAATTATAAAAAAATGATCAACAAGTGAAAAATGAATTACATAACATTATTCGAACACCGTAAAATCATTTTCAGAAAATGTAATTCATTCTACAAAATTCAATTTTCAAAATATATTTTTCATGAAACAAACGGACCAGAACATTATATCAAACTACCCCTTGTCATTGCTTCTGAGAAGGATTATAAACAACCAATGGCCATGTAATAATATGCTGAAATCTCATCAATTGAATAAAAAAAAGTCATTTTTAGTTTGGAACCAAAAAGAAAAAGAAATTGCATTGCTTCTCTCTTTTATGGCTATTGTCACACCATAACATAGCATATATACCACTCTTTGATGTGACCAATTCATAAATTAAAGACTGAGTTTTATATAACATCTTGAATATGAATATGAATATGAATATGAATATAATTAGAAAATTATAGCAAATACAAATTGACAATTAAGACAACACCTTTGAACATAATATATTTTCACCATATGAATTACAATAAGAAAATAATAATAATTAAAACGCTTAAGGGCTGAAAGTGACCTCAAACAATTTTAATGATTTCCTTAAATTTTTTTTAAATGACTTTCATTAATAAGTAATTATATAAATGATGCATTTTTATTAAATAAATGTGTAATGTGAGAAAAGATATGACATGGAAGTGTTGTTCTAAACAAACATTATCTTGTAATCCGCTATAATTTTAAAAGAATATGATCAATAAATCATATTCTCTCTCAATTTGGAAAAAAAAATCATATTTTTAGACTCTTATTTGATAAATATGTTTATGGATATTGTAAACATGTTTATGGTAAGTTACATTACTTTATTTTCTTTACATAAATTTATACACAATCATCCAATTACTTTATTATTCACTGATTTTAATTTTAATTTTTATAAGTCATAGCAAAATGGCGTGAAGATCAACATGAGAAAAAATAAGTGTCATCTCGATCAGTCAGTCATGTCGATGTCAAATCCAATCCTGAGAAGAAAAAAAGATAAATGAAAATAATGGCCAAACGACAAAAAACTACCAAAAGAAAGAGAAAAACTTGTCACAAATGTAGTGATAAACGTTCACAAAGACATAATTATTCTTATTAAAAACTAAAAAAAATAAAGAGAAAAAATAACAGGCAACGGACAACTAGCATCAAGACTGTGTCGCCACTACCTAAACAAAATCGAAAAACAAAGTTAATTTTATATATAGAAAATGACACAAATTGTAAAGAAAAAAAAATGAGAGAAGAGTAGGAGAGGGAGAGAGCGGCTATGGTTTATATTAAGTAGAATGGTTTTTCCAAAAATGTTAAATATACAAGTCAATAAAATATTGATATATCTCATTAAAATTTATAAATCATAATAATTAACACTTATATAATTACACATAATTATATCATAATTTAACTATTAAATGATATTTTTGACTAATTTTAAATCTAATATTAATCATATCTAGAGCAAAAATGAAGGAAGGAATCTAAGAAAATGAACGAGAGTGCTCCTAGTTGATCTAGAATCCACAACCATAAAGGAATATGAAAGAACAAAGACAACTAGGGATGGACCCAGAAAGGGGTGAGACGAGGAAATCGTCCCCAAAAAATTTCAAATTCTTATATATTATAGATATATTTTTATTGAAAATATATTATTACCCCTAAAATTTTATAAGTTCACCCATAACATAAAATCTTGCGTCTATCCTGAACTTGACCAACCGACTGAAATACACGTGTTCAATTATTAAATGACTTTTAAACATATGCGTTTGGTTCACGAAATGTAAGATTACTAGTGGGAATAAAAGATTACCAGGGAATTGGATTACTGGGGATGTTGTATTTTTTGTTTGGTTGGTTTAGCAGGAATGTAATATTACCGTGTTTGGTTAAAGGAATAAAAGATTACTGAAATGTATATTTGACCAAATTGTCCTTATTATATATTTATTTTTTTAACAAGTTGAATTCTACGATAATATTACTATAAGTATTTATATATTTTATTTAAAAAAATTTAAATTCATAAAATTTATATAATTTTTTTACAAAATTGAAAATATAAAAAGGTTTAATGAAATGGTAAAATTTTATTTTAACCCCTGAACTTCATATAAAATTTTAATTAGACTTTTTTGTAAATCTAAAATAGTTTAAGGATAAATTTGTAATTTAACCTTCGTAGAATTTTTATTATTCAATGACGGAACAATGATATTTTTGAAAAAAAAAATTAAGGGCATTTTAGTTCAAAACGTTGATAATCCAATAATATCTAAGGAAGGGAGGTAATGACATTCCCAGTAATATACCTCAAAAAATCCACTGTTGGTAATAAAACATTATCGAGAATGAGATTATCGGCCAACCAAACGGGATAATGTGGATTCTATTCCTCTGGTAATCTTATATAATTTAAAACAAACAACCCCTAAATGACTTAACACTACCATAACTGATATTAAATTTAATCAATTAGAGAGAGAGATAGAGAGGGAGGGAGGGAGGGAGCCACCATTTTACAACCAGAGCTTTTACTTTCTCATTAATGGCGACGAATCACTACATAACATATTAATAATTCTGAATTTATTTTCTTATTTGTATTATGTTCGTTTTTCCTTTTTAAGCGGAAAAGTTTTAAATAATCAAACTTCCATAAAATCATTCATTTAAGATGCAATTAGATGACTAATAAATTTATATATATTTGTTACAACTATACTGATAATTAATATTAAATATTTTAAGAAATACTATATACTTTTACCTAAAAATGTGTAATATTCCCTCCGTCCCATAAAAATTGTTTATTGTTGATTTATAAAAAGTTAAAATTTTTAAACTTTCACTTTGATTATTTTAAATTTTTTAAATAATTAAATTTTATAAAATATATATTTAAAAACTATTTGATTGAAAGTTTTAAAAATGCATTTTTCAGGGAAAATGTTAACATGACAACACGTGGGAAGGCACGTTGATGTACCGCGCCTTCTAGGGTTATCAAAAGCATATTTTAAAAAATATATTTTAAAAAAAATAAAAAAATAAAACCATAAGGACCAACAATGTAATTTAATATATATTAGTTCTATGAGTTAAAGAGTCTAATGGTATTAGTTTATATAAGCATATTGGAGTGTTTAGATTATGTTTCTTGACAATGTAGGATAAAAGCAAAAATGAGTATTCCTTAACTTTTTTATATTATCTCTATATCTAATGAATCCACTTATACACTAATGTTAAACTTCATTAGGTTAATATTTATTATTAAGGTTTGTTAATTAAGATTAAATATTTTTTATATGTTAATATATTTAAATACTTATTTTTTTTAATTATGAGTTCAAAAAATTTATGTAATACAAATTAAAAATATTTCATTGACATATAAATGTATTATTTATTGAATATGATTAATTAGATCTATAATTTAAGTTGAATCTAATATAAAAATATGAAAAAAAAATATTGCTTGGTTTATATAGAAAATTTTCCTTACAAATAATTTAAAAAATCATAAAACCAAATTTATGTATATAAATGATAATACCATTAATTGTTACTACTAAAATATAATATAAATTAGTTAAAAATGATAATATAAATATTTTTATAAGTTATATAATCATACAATTAGGATCATATAACAATTTAATTAATCATATTTAATAAATAATACATTTATATGTCAATGAAATCTTTTTAATTTGTGTTACTTAATTTTTTTGAACTCATAATTAAAAAATAAGTATTTAAATATATTAATATATCAAAAATATCTAATCTTAATTAATATAAACATTAATAATAAATATTAACATAATGTAATTTAACAATAACGTATAAGTGGATTAATTAGATATAGAGATAAAAATGTAATGAATATACATTTTAGTTTTTATCTCACATTGTCGAGAAACATACTATAAACACTCCAATATGCCTATATAAATTAATACCATTAATCTCTTCAACTCATGAAACTAATATGTATTAAATTACACTATTAGTCCCTATAATTGTATTTTTTAATGTTTTTAAAGTATATCTTTTTAAAAATATTTTTAAGGAATTGAAAGATGCGATCATTGAAACACGTATTCTCTGGTTATTTTTTCAGGAAAGAACGGCTTAGGAGATGCGTATTTAGTCCACTTAAGTAAAGGCGCTTTCCACATAACAAGTCTTATTAGCAACGGTATTAGATCATTAAAATTTAACTAAACATGACAGGTAATATTATAATATTTAGGTAAAAACGCAAAAAATATGATGGAAAATAGTTGCCATCATAAAAAATTGAACTTTCACGCTCTGACTTGCCGCGTGATGTCACACCCAATATTTTATAGAATTTGCCATATTTTTTAGTTGATTTTTATGTTTTATGTTACAACTTACAATAGTTGTAGCTGGACAAAATTAGATAAATACTGCTGTAATTTTTAAAAATTAGAACAATAGAGTTGAGTGGGAAATTATCTAAAGGGTTGGACTGATTTTTTATCATGTAATTTTTAAATTCTTAATTATCGATAACACAAACTATATAATTTAAGAAAAAATATTTAATTTTAATCTTAATTATTTTATTTTAACTAATTAAATGATAACACGTGTCAAATTCTAATAGGACAAAAATAAATAAATAAACTATGCACCATAATGAATCAAACCGGTGATTCATGTGAAGACTGCTCACGCCTTTACAATTGAGTTAAACCCAATCGTTGGTAAAGGGTTGCAACATAGTTTATATATTTTATTTTAGTTAGTGGCAGCAAAAAAAAAATGCAAAATTACTCAAATGAGAATTTGAACCTATAATTTAAAAGATAATTTAATTTTTCTTAACCATAATTTCAACTCTCGTATCCGTAAATTATACTTTAAAATTAAATTTATTTTTTTTCTTTTATACATTTATAATATTAAATTTATAATTTCAATAGTTAGGTGACCTAATTGATAAATTTCAAAAATAGTGGTCAAAATAAAGAGAGACAATAGTTAGATAGTTCATGGTATAGTTTATCCAATGTAATTTTCAGATTTATTTCTACTTCATTATATAATCAACACTAATTATATTATTTTTCATTTAAATATATTCTTTAAAATGCTGCCTAACATTTCCTTTAGTTATACTTTTTTTTATTCTCAAATATCTTATCTTCAATAAAAATACCGCTAATCATTTTAATCCGTTTAATAAAAAATGGGGTAAATTATAAATTTAATTAATGAATAAATTTATTAAAATTAAGATTAAATTAATAGAATGTATAAATATTAAAGATTATATGTATAATTATGTTAATTTTTTAATTGTGATATCAACATTTACGTTAACTGTTAACGGTAAGTGACTTAATTGATAATAATTAAATAATTAAATGATCAAATTAACTAAATTAAAATATCAATAATAAAATTAAAATTGATAAATAGTTAAATTGTTAATGATATAGTTTACCCTAAAATATCAACTAAGGGGCTGTTTGTTTGGCTCTGAATGGAATCATTCAGCGTTGAATGTTGAACAGTTCAACATTCAGCGTGTTTGTTTATCACCTCTGAATGATTTAGTGCTGACTGATTCAGCAAAACAGTGTTGAATGATTCATCATCAAAGTACATTCTGAATCATTCAGAGCCATTATCAAACAGCATGTCACATTCAGAACTAATTCATACAGAGCCTCTGAATCATTTAGCATTTAAATCATTCAACGCTCAATCATTTTAAAGTAAACAAACAACCCCTAAACCGACACTCGTTCAGTTCTTAAGAGCGTGTAATCAAACGCTAAAACTGAGAACGTGAAAAACTGTTACTCAAAGCAGGAACAGCAAAATTTTGCAGTACGAAACGAGGAAAGAAAAACAACAACCCTAGAACAGCAAAATAATTACTATCTTTTTTTGAAAGAAATAGATGATACGTTTTACTTAAATGAAAGCCTTTGGGGTTAGAAAGCTGGAGCTGGAGAAGAACCAAAGCTACAAGGAACTGAGCATTTCAAGCAAAATTTCTCTCGTTTTCTTTCTCTTTCTCTCTTGGTGTTATATTTGTTTTTTTTTCTCTTGAAAGGGTGTCAATAATCCTAGTTTTCTTTTTTCTCTTTGTTTTTCACAAATTTGGTTACACTTTGGGACCTGAGATCCCTGACTTAGCAAAGCAAAAACCAAACCCTTCAACCAGCAGCTGCTTCCCAAGAACTTAGAAAAACAACAACATAATCTTAGTAAAAGAAGAAACAATTACATATACATAGAGAAATAGTCGGTAATCTAAAGTTATAGAGGTGTCTGATTAGTATAAATATAGTAAGGCAATAAAGGGAAAAACCAAACCGAAAAAAGGTTTTTTTAAGGAAGACCATGGGGAGAGGAAGAGTAGAGTTGAAGAGGATAGAGAACAAGATAAATAGACAAGTTACATTTGCAAAGAGAAGAAATGGGTTGCTCAAGAAAGCTTATGAGCTCTCAGTTTTATGTGATGCTGAGGTTGCACTTATCATCTTCTCTAACCGTGGGAAGCTCTATGAGTTTTGTAGCAGCTCTAGGTATATCAACTCTTTTTCGTAGCTCTCTTTATTCTCACTTCTTTCTTCAATTTGTCTTCTTCTTCTTTTTTTTAGCTATTTTGATCTGTGGATCTATTGATTTGTTTCGCTTTTATGTTGATTTTGAACTTGACTTATTTGATCTCGTTTTCTTTGAGCATTTTATTTAATTTTATGAGGATTTTGGAGGTTCATTAGGTTATAATTGCCGTACTTTTTGATTGTTTTTAGTTATCTGGTTATGAGCTTCTGGTCATTCATTTATCTAATTCTTTTCGTAATTTTTTGAGGTTCGGGTCTAGTTTTTTTGTGTTATAGAAGATCTGATTTCCATACAATTCATGTCTATAAATTTAAAGAAGATGACCTTTTTTTTCTAGGTTTTTCTCTTTTTCTAGAATTACGAGTTTTCTTCTGCATATATCAGTTCAGGTGTAGAAGTCTCATACCTTGTCATGGCAGATCGATCGATCTAGTTAATAAAACACCAAGTTTTCTTCATTATTCCTACTGATGTTTCTTTGTGAAATTTCTCATATGGTACTTTTCTCAATGACACAAGTTCCATTTCGTCAAAATCGCAGATGTTTGTCCCTAAACATGTTCATGAAATTCTTACTAATAAATTGATTTCCTTTAATTTCTGGGTTCATTTAATAGCACAGCATCTCATTACTGGTTCTTAGGATGAATGTTTTAAAGTTTCACTAACAGCATTTATCGCGTGTCCTTAATAAAGGTTTTCCAGTTTTGATGAATCAATATTTGTAATATTAGGAAACTATTTTATGTATACATGCATCGTTTAAGAAATCTGGTAAGAATATTGTAAACCTTCGAAGTTTTCCAGTTAATGATTTGTAAATTGAATAATATAACTTTTAATCGACCAGTCTATTTGTGGTTCGGGTTAAATTTGTTATAGTACATGTACTTTCAGAAGAAGCATTTCAACACTGGCAGATACAAAATGTCATTTCCTCAGTAGGGTTACATTACCATTGGTCACTAGGGTGTCATGTCTTGAAATGCCCGCACAATGATTTTTCTTCATCGGATGCATAATTGTATATATGCTGTAAAGTTGATTCTGTGATAAAAATGGCTTGAATTCCTCTCTCTTTGTTTGTGTTTTTAGATTTTTTGGTATTATACCAGTCGTGTAATGGAAAATTAGAGGGTATGTTTTAGGTTCATGTTGTTTAGTTTCATGAAAATCATTTAGTTTTTCATGATTGAATATTACCCCATGTTTAGAAAAAGTGAAAGTTTAGTATTACCCAGGATGTAATACTAATAAACTACGTGTGCACATGAACTTGGGAATTTCAATGCAAAGATGAACTATTCCATGTACAATTTAGCATCATGAATGATAAACGTCCTTTTTCGCTTTTGCTTTCTTCTCAGCATGCTCAGGACACTTGATAGATATCAGAAATGCAGCTATGGTGCTGTGGAAGTTACCAAGCCAGCCAAGGAGCTTGAGGTGAGATTTTGGCAATGTTCATAAACTGTTTGATAGATTACGTCTTAAAAAAAGTTGGCTTGGTAATTTAAAGTATCGAACTTTTGTTTTCGATTGTTCTCCCCTAGTTTCAATCTTTGTTTTCATTGTTTGCTGTTGCAGAGTAGCTATAGGGAGTACCTAAAACTGAAAGCTAGATATGAGGAACTGCAACAAACACAGAGGTACTGTGTCAATTTTTCATTTATGTAATATGTTAAACATGATTATGAAAAGGAAGACAACATAAATAGTATATGAATGCACATTTATGTGTTATGGGATTATTACCTCTTCCCAAAAGACTTGGCAAGTAATATCAGAGCGATCTAGTGGGTGAGATAAAAAAGAAAGACAACCATGACGATGATGTCACAGGTTTGATTGGAGAAAATGTTACACCCTCAAGAGGTGAGGGACATTAATCTCACATAAAAAAAGAAGAAGAGGAAAATCCTGAAGTTTAAAAGCCGTGGTGCTACACATTTTATCAGTTATCTCACATGTCTTTTGTGAAGAGGATAATGGTTTCGTATACTATTCATGTATCTTTCTTGTCATAATAATTTTTAACATAGTATTCATAGTTGAAATATTTAAACATGAACAAGTTTATGTGCAATCTTGTTTGGTCTTTGATTCAACAGGAATCTCCTTGGTGAAGACTTGGGTCCATTGAACTCAAAGGAGCTTGAGCAGCTTGAGCACCAGCTTGAGGCATCCTTGAAACATGTTCGCTCCACCAAGGTAATAATATCATGAGCAGTAAAGAGTGTTTCCCCAACCCCCGGTGAAAAGTTAACCATGCATAATTAACATTGTCAACTTCTCAATTCATTAATTTGCTTCTTCATTTCCCTTTTAACTCCTTATATTTTCAAGTTTCACTTGCCATATTGTAACACTTGTTTTGTCTCAATCTCTTTCTGCAGACCCAATATATGCTTGACCAGCTTTCTGATCTTCAGAACAAGGTAACAATCTGAATTTTGGGGGGAAAACGTACTGCTAATGTTTTTTGTGCTTTTAATGCACTAATGGGCTTTAAGTACAGGAACAAATGCTAATGGAAGCTAACAGAGCTTTGTCCATAAAGGTAAATTCATCTCTTAAATTATAAAAGCAATAGCTTCCATCAACTTTTTAACTGTATATGATATGTCAAGTTGAAAGGACATAACTCATGACGTAGTTTATGAAAGGGTTAATATATTATTGCGTTTTTATCAACAAAAAAAAAAACTAAAATATTACAATATTACATGTTAGATTTTTTTTAAAATTTTACGGATTAATTTAATACTCTTTTTTAGTTGGACCGAAGGCACATCTCATAAAGTATGTTTTTTTTAGAAAAAAGGTTGACATGACATTATATGAGAATACACGTTTTAAGGGGCGCACCTTCCAAGTTTTTTTGTCTGTATTTTAAAAAAATATGTTTTAAAAATTTTAAAACATAAAATTATATGGACTAACAAAGTAATTTAATACATATTAGTTCTATGAGTTGAATAACTTAGTTTATATAGGCATATTAAAGTATTTAGGTTGTGTTTCTTGATAATGTGTGATAAAAACTAAAATGTGTATTCCTTAACTTTTTTTTATCTCTATATCTAATGAATCTACTTATACACTATTATTAAATTCCATTAGGTTAATATTTATCATTAAGATTTATTAATTAAGATTAGATATTTTTTTATATGTTAATATATTTAAATACTTATTTTTTTAATTATGAGTTCAAACTTGCTATGGTTTATAGCTCAAGCTGTACTCGTAAATCATGTCAAGAAAAAGAATGAGTAAACATCATGATTTGTAGATAATAATATAACAGTTGATAGAAAATAATGATAATCAACCGATTCAACTTCCATACAGGTGAACTTCATCTTGCATGAGAGGGAATTATAAGTATTTTAATCCAAACACAAACCACAAATCCGAACAATAATATCCATAATGTAAGATTCTAGTCTATAATGGAATACTTACTAATCCATACCTTACTGACATATGCTTCTCACATTTGTATAGCAAGCTGAATAAAGCTTTTGATAAGGCGAGAAACTAACATATTCTGATCCAAAACCATTTTGCTTTCACTAGAGGTATACATACCTACTCATTCGTTTCAAATGCCGTACATGATGGATAACAATTGTTTGGTTCTTTGGAGAATCATAATTCTTTTGCAATATGGTAACATGTAAAAGTCATATATGGTGAATCGAGTTCGAATTACTAAATCATACTTGCAATATATATAGTTGTTGCATATATACCAAAATAGAGCAATTTTAACAAGAGGCTACAATTTAAAAACACCAAAAGGTTGCATAAACGCCTAGGTATAAACAAGCAACAAAGAAATCAGTCATTTGTAAGAAGTTCAGAAACAACATAATATCTCAAAATAGAGGTTTATGAATAAGAATAACAACAAAGAAATCAACCATTTGTAAGTGTATAATGGTGTCATGATCATGCATGTTTAATCTAATATTTTTATATTAAATTCAACATAAATTTTTTTAACTCATAATTAAAAAATAAGCATTTAAATATATTAACATATAAAAAATATCTAATCTTAATTAATAAATCTTAATAATAAATATTAACCTAATATAATTTAATAATAGTCTAGAAGTGGATTCATTAGATACAGGGATAAAAAGTTAAGGAATACAACTTTTAGTTTTGATCTCACATTGTCAAGAAACATAACCTAAACACTCTAATATGCCTATATAAACTAACACCATTAAGCTCTTCAACTCATGGAACTAATATGTATTAAATTATGTTGTTTGTCCTTAAGGTTTTATTTTTAAAAAAATTTAAAGCATATTTTTTTAAAATACTTTTAGAGAATCTAATGTGGCAAAAAAAATCCTGGAGGAGCGCCCCTTGAAACACGCCTTCCCATGTGGTGTCATGTCAATATTTCCCTTAGAAAGTGTGTTTCATGAGACACACATTCGGTATTAGAAAGGGTGTTAGATTAGTAAAATTTAAGGAAAATGTGTATGATAAGTAATATTTGGGTATTTTTTGGGTAAAAACGCCATATATTATTAGATACTTGAATTTAGTTTTAATATTTAAACTGGTAACTTATATTTTTTTTGGGGTCCAATTTGATACCAAAACTTTGTTTTTGTTACACATTTTAGTTTTAGACCAAGAAAAAGTACTGATATTGATTTGAATTATGAGACCAAATTCAAGTACTAGAAAATATACCTGAGGGTTTGTATTCACCTTTGAAAGAGATTTACAAATTAAATCTGTATAAGTTGAACTTCTGTAATATAATATTTAAGTGACCCTAAGCAAGAATTTAGAGGAGTCCTTCACAAGCTGATATCAAGCAACTTGGAGTTTGGAGTATCATTTTGAGTACTTCCTTCCCTATGCGATCAACAAGCCTAGCTTAAATATAGCATTTTACTTAATCATCTCTATCTATATTGAAGATTTGATACTTAAGTTCCCATTAGATCCAAATATGAATTTGGGGTCGTAGATATTATGAAAAAAAGATGAACCTGACTGTTTCTTCAGACCCCCAGTCGCTGTCTCATATACTTGCCAGTTTTGTCAGCTAAAGACTTTTCTTGTGTTTTTACAGCTTGAAGACATTAATGCCAGAATTCAGTTTGGAGCACATTGGGAAGGTGGCGAGCAAAGTGTATCATTCAATAACCAGCATACTCACTCCATGGGGTTTTATCAGCCATTGGAATGCAATCCAACTTTGCAGATAGGGTATGATTTCAAACTTTTTTACCTTTTATTTTAAAGAAATTATTTCGTAAATCCTCCTCGTCACATCATCCATAGTCTCAACTAAATATCACCTACATCATTTTTTCCCACGTGTCACTAATTCATTCGTAATCAAATTACACTAAAGAAAAGGTAAAGATTCATCTTCGGAAAAAATAACGTGGAGAAAAAAAAATATGAAATGAGTGGTTTTTACTTATTGAGACTACGGAGATGTGGTGATGAGGACTGGTAATAATTTTTTTCATTCTAACATTGTTTAACACATATTCGGATATGGATGTGACATCTTCAATTACATAGAGAAACATAGAAAAAAATTAAACATGCTCATATCGAAAAATTTTAACACGCACCCGAATTTGAAAATCATAAGTATATGCCCGTTTTTAATTTATCAAATTATCTGTTTACTGGTGCAGTTACTGCAATCCTGGAGCTGCAGACCAGATGGCTGCAACAAGTCATGCTCAGCAAGTCAATGGCTTTATCCCTGGATGGATGCTCTAAATTTTTGGTTCCATCAACATGGTTAAAATGATCATAAACTCTAGTACCTAAAAATGCTTCTTGATGATGTTGAAAATGTGTAAAAAAATGGTTTCAAGAGCATATATATATGCATAATATCCTGCATTGACATAAAACACTACATTAGAGACTGAGTTTGCTGGTAAGACTCTTGAGCCACAGACAAAAGGCTTGTGATTAAGTTTATATATGACAATGGAAGACTTGTTCCATGCTTGCTTTGACACTGGTTAAGCACTTATTACACTTCTATGATCACGTTGCCAAAAATATTTGGGGCATTGTTGTTCTTGCCTGCATTTTTGGGGTGAAAGATGAAAGTTATTCTGCCATGGCTCATATCTTCTTATCATCGCTTGTTAAGAGTAGAACCACTTTTAGATAGTCATTAACTCATTATGAATAAGATGACTAGATATTGGTTGAGTAGGAAGAATGAGGTGCCTTGTATAGTTCTTTATAGGCAAAATTGCTCACAGTGAAAAAAATTATTGGCTCACATAGGATCTTGCCGGATCTCGTGTGAATGTTACATTGCTAGTTGAAAGATGCCGGGAACGCAATGCGTCTTTGGGAAGACGTGGCGAAGATAGTGCGTCTTCTGTTTTGTTCATACGATAATCTTGACATTCCAACTGCATGAAAAATTTGTGAAGAATGAGAAAGACACATTATATTCCCGACGTCTTCTCTAACACTGTAGTGATCACATCATCTGAATAAATAATTTCGACAAGACTTTATATGAGCCAATTGTTTTTTCTATCTCCTCGTGTGAGTAATTTTGCCGACCAACTTTGTAAATATCTGGAATAACTTAAATTAGGCTCATCCTTATAATTATAAAGTTTAGATATTAATAAAATAATGACATGTCATCCACTTTTAAAAAATATAAAAAATACTGCACACTAGTATATATTCAATATCATTTCCAACTTTAATTTTAATTAAATTATTTAAAAGTAAATAATTAAATATTTGAGAAAGAAAAATTTTGAACGAGAATTCAAAATAGAAATAAGTTTAAGGATACTTTTGCCATCGTAATTGATCAAAATGATCAATATTGCTCTTTATTTGTAATTGTTTAATGTAGTCTCCAAAATTTTGAATTGTATTAATATTATCCTTTGACCGATAGTAATTATTGGTGACCGTTACGATGATGATATAATGATCTATGATCTAACTTGAGTCGATAAAAGCAAAAATGAAAGAGAATAAAAGACTACAATAGTTAAAATAAAATGGGAGGTAAAATAAACGACTAAAACAAAAGAAAAATCTTAAGGATATATATACAATAAAACTTTTATAAATTAATACTTGTTAAATTAATAATTTATTTAATTAGTCACATTGCACGTGAACATCATTCAATTAGTCAATACAATATATGTTTAATTCATGAAGAAGAATGTAGGTTCGTTGAATCGGAAAAAATCTCTCTAAATTAATAAATTATTAATTTATCAATTAATTAATACTTATTTAAATTAATAAAATTATGTGGTCTCGATATTATTAATTTATAAAGATTTTATTATATATATACATATACATATACGGATCAAGTTGGACCATATTCACGTTTAGGGTAAAATTTCTCAACCCGACCCTTATATATATAATCTACTTTATATTTTTACATAGATTTAGAACAGTTAAATAAAAATAAACTCGTGTCTAAAATATAAAAATAAACGATTAAAGTTAACTATTTATGATTTTTCGTAAAATATATATATATATATATATATATATATATATATATATATATATATATATGTATGTATGTATATGCACTTATGTACATAATCCTTATGATTTTTCTTTTATTTTAGTTGTTATCTCTCCGTCCTTTTTCATTCTAACTGCTGTAGCATTTTTATTTTTATTGCATTGTTATCCCTCTATAGTTAGATAAGATCAACACTTATTAGATCTTAATCAACTTACTATTCTTAGTTTTGATCCATCTTACTCCACTTTGATTTTTTTTTTAATTTTTCATTTAATAAGTTGAGACACGTGTTATTATCTAATTAATAAAAATTATTGAATTATATAAATTAAAAGTAAAATCCTTAAATTAAATTATGATATGTGTCGTTAGTAATAAATATCATTGTTTGATTGAAAAATTGAATTTATTAAATTAAAATTAAAATCAGTTTAATAAAATTATAAATAATAAATGATCAAAAGTACAATTACATAAATTATTTAACTATCATATCAACATTTCTAATAATCATTAATAATAAATAATCTAATGGATATCATTTAAATAATTAAATAACATAATTGAACGAGACTATTTCTCTGGTTAGAGGGATGATTGTTATCTCAAGAGATCTCAAGTTCGAGCACCAACGACTACCGGGATATTTAAACATTTATTGTTAAAATCATTGAAAGTCTCTAGAATATATACTATCATTTTTAATTACTCTAGATTAATAAAAAAAATAATTAATGATTAACCCTAGTTGCTCACATTTTCTTTAACCGCTCTCTCTCCTTTGTCTTTTTTCTTTCTTTCTTTGAGTTTGTATCTTTTTTATAAATCATATCAATTTTTTCTTCTTTGATTTTTTTAGTCGATGGATGCACCGACTTTGATGCTAGTTGTTGACCTTCGGTTCTTTTTTTTCTTTTTTTTTTCTTTTATTTTTTAATAAAAATAATTCTACCTGTGTTGTACGTTTATCTCTGTCTTCGTGACATGTTTATCTCTGTCTTTGTGGCACGTTTTTCGATTTTTTTTCTCGGTCTTTTATCCGTTCTTTTATTTATATTTTCTCAAAGTTGGATTGACGACGCCACGACTGATCAAGATGGTGCTTATTAGAAATCTTGTTGATCTTCCCTGCTATGGACATTTAGATTGAATTTGGATGCATGATTTTACGTTTGTGGATAGTTTCTCACGACGCTCAACTCTGATGTACAGTTCTCGTTGGTTTTTCAATAGTTTAATTATCTTTTGTGATCCGTTTACCGATGCAATCAAATTTATTCATATTTATTTTAATCTCTTGGTTGAGTTTTTAACGTTCTCTATGTATAATCTTTATATAATCTAAAGTATATAGTTTCAATGTTATAGGAAAAATCTAAATTATACGATGATAATTGTAAATTCTTATTATAATTTCAAATATTTTTTATTTTTTTAATAATACTAGCGGGTTCTTTTAAAAAAAATAATAAATAAATAATATAAATTGATTTTTAATTGTTTTCTTTATATATTAAAATTTTAATATAGAGAAAAAGTGGAAAGTCTCTGTCTTTGGTAGTAGGTTGTTGTGAAAGAATGAAACTTCAGACCAATAAAAAGTCAACCCTTATGTTTCGATATACAAACTCTGTTCTCTTCCAATTTCAACATCCAATGCGTTTACTTTGTCTTCCGAAGAGCTTCAGTTTCCATTTTCAGGTAATTATTTTTTCTCTCTATCCAAACAGAATTCCAGTTCCCACTTCCCCCTTGTTTTGAATACAATTAGAATGTTAGAATTCCTTGATTTTTATATTTCATTTCATATTTTTTGCTGACACCCTTTTGTTTATTTCTATTCACGATTGTGATAAATTCTTATTTTTTTTATGCTAAAGGTTATTGCTTTGGCTTTAAAGAATTCTATTTGTTCTGCAAAATGTGAACTTTTAACAATTGTGATTCTGCTTTCTTCTGGATATCTGGGTGAAATAAGACAAACCCAACTTTGCAAATTTGATACTCCTGGAAAGTTACCTTTTTTCTTGGCTACGGAAGCAGAAATGGACAAGGTTGATTATATGTAAGAAAAATATTAGGATTCCTGAATTTGGTAAAGGATTGTATATGCAATTTATTGATTGAAAAAAGAAGAAGGTTTTCTTCAAATTTAAGATCTGCGAATCTAACCTACATGTTTTGGAGAATGGGTTAGAATTCTGTGAAAAGCTAGCAAAATGGTCCAAATTACATGTGATCTGATATTCATGCATTAAGGATAAATTAGATATTCTTAGTTTCATTCAAGATTTATGTTTGTTGTTAGCTTTTTGTGGACTAAATTGATGGATTGGCCCTGGAATACATGATGCTGTGACATTTTAGCACTCGGGGATGAGTGAAGATGATGTTCTTTTACATATGCGTGTGTATGTGTTTATAGATGATTGCATCAACGATGGCCTCTGTAGCTTTTTACTTGTCCTTCTGGTTACTGATTTGGAACTATACCTGTTACCTTCTTTCATTATGCAGAAAGTCAGCAAAAACCAGAGGATAATGGCTCAGTCATCTGGTAGCAATAATGGGAAGAAGCTGATTCGAATAGATGTAACTTCAGACAGCGTTTGCCCATGGTGCTTTGTGGGAAAAAGAAACCTCGACAAAGCAATTGCGCAATCTAAGGATCAATTCGACTTTGAGGTCTCTTGTCACATGCGCAGCAGGCCTTGGCACTTGTTTTATGCATATTAAATTACACTCATCGATGGTTGCTCTTCGCAGATTAAGTGGCATCCATATTTTCTTGATCCCTCTGCACCCAAGGAAGGAGTCAACAAGAAAGAATACTATGAGAAGAAGTTTGGATCTCGAGCTCATGGAATTCTTGCTCGTATGACTGAGGTCTTGCGTATATTCTTTGAACTTTCTATTGTTATAATTTGATTTGCCTTGCCTTCAAGTTTGTCGCTTACTGCCTGAGTTGCCGTGGCCACATAAAATTGCAGATCTTTAGGGATCTTGGATTGGATTATGACATGTCCGGACTCACGTAAGTTTTGCTTTTTTGCTTCATATTTTGTGTAACAAGAGAGCCGAAGGTGGCTGTGTTAATAAATAGGCATGACCAGAACTTGATACGAACAGGGGAAGTACTCTTGACAGCCATAGGCTGATTTATTTTGCGGGAAAACAAGGTCTTGACAAGCAACATGCTCTCGTGGAGGAGATTTATCTCGGATACTTCACCCGGGGAAAATTTGTTGGTGATCGGTATGTGTAGTTCATACTTTTTTGTCTTCAATGAATTCCAATCCAATCAATTATTTACCGAATGACAAAATTCGAACACCTGCGGTGTCATCTTGGATAATAAAACTTCAGAAGTAGGCTTGTTGGAACATCTTTTGGTGACTTCGGGTTTTACAGTTATGTTCATTTATGTAGAAAACTGATAAAAGTACTTGTGCGTCTTCATATCCCTACGCTGAGTGATTGCATCTAACAATGTGACTGGATGCAGGGAGTTCCTTCTGGAATCTGCTGAGAAGGTTGGAGTTGAAGGTGCTGCAGAATTTCTGGAAAATCCTAATACCGGAGTTAAGGAGGTCTGCCCTGTCTTACCACCATCTATCGTACATTTCTTCATAATATCCGCTTCATAGCTAACCAAGGTTGTATTTTCGGATGAAGGTTAACGAAGAGCTGGAGAAGTACTCGGCAAACATTTCTGGAGTCCCACATTACGTGGTGGGTGAAAAATCTAAGCTTTTAGTTTTCTGTTACCAGAAATGACTTGGGAAACTAAGACGATGTATTATTTTGGCAGATAAATGAGAAGCATCAGTTGAGTGGTGGACAACCACCTGAAGTTTTCCTTAGAGCTTTTCAAGTTGCAGAAAAATGAGATCCTCACACCTTATATATTTCAATCATTTTCAACCTATACAAAATAAGTTGGCCATTTGATAAACCCTGTCCTTACCAGGTGTTTATGGATTTCTTTAAGTGGCTGAAGAACCTGGTTTTTATGTTTGCTTGAACACACAGGAGTGTATTTTGACAATACATGTATAATCTGTGTAAGAATATTCGAAACCGAAAACAATAACCCAACCCAACCTCCTTTATAAAAAAAGAATCCACACTAAGTTTTCCAACAATAATGCAATCATGCATACGATTTCTTTTTTCCCCACTTCAAGGGTTACAAGGACAATGAAATTAAAATCTTTATACAAAATACTTTTATATATATGGCATGAGACAATCTCCTTGTCCTGAATTTTTCACAAAGGGCTCTAGATGTCTTCCCTTAGTTCTATCTTCTGTTGTCGCTTGCGATCATCCGCAACAAAAACTTTCAAGCAAGATTAGGTCTCTTCATCGAATGCCATGACCTGGAAAAGCAAACAAATAACCATTGCTTGCCTGTCAATTCCATGGAAGAAGACAAGTAAATCAAATAAAAACAGCAAATATTCTGGAGTTTTCACAAAATTATCATTAAATTGACATATCCTAGCAAACAAGTGGTTAAATTACCACCGCAGGCGTGGCCCAGTTGGCAAAGCAAGGACTCTTGGATTATGAGTTGGTCTCATGTCCTAGGTTCGAACCGCGCTGGCTGGGTGGGTTCTTTGAGCCCCTCCGGAGGTTGCCATGTAGGGTCGGGTTTTTTAGCCTGGCCTTGGGAGGTTCTACGTTATAAAAAAAAAAGTGGTTAAATTGTCCAAGAAGAAACAGCCAAACATGTCAAACCCATTAGATAACCAGAAACTTTGTTATTATCTTCGGATTCTCTACAGTATATTCTGCACATAAATTATAACAATAAGTATAAGTGAGGATAATGTATCTATAACAAGTACAACCTAATACGATTCATGAGTCATGACATTATCAGTTTCTGATCGCAGTGATTGACCGACTGTTTCTAACATAAGTGACTTAGCATATATGACAAATGGACTAATTCCTTGAATTAAATCAAGGCTTCTTAATAATCAGTCGCTAGAATCTGGTCCAATTAATGACACAACCACCTAGGTTAGAGAAGAAAGTTATAGTCGAAACTAGACACTACAAGGCATCCTTTATAGTTCTAGAAAACTTAGCCTATTCAACCAGTCGTTTAGGAAACCTTGTTGGAGGGAAGAGAGGAAGATAAAAATCAACTGTGGCACGCATTCTTTGATCCCATAGAAAGCGGGAGATTCTAGTTGATATTGCTGAGTGCTACAAACTTCCAATGGCAGAGGAGCAAATCCCCAGTATTCTTGACAAATTATTACAGAAACAATCAACATTGTTCTTTTTATACTGTGGACTAAAACTAAATCCATCCTTTCTAGTTGACTGAACACCTTGCCAGGTTCACAAGCAAGAAATATATAAGTGGGTAAGAGTCCAAAACAGTTTTAATGCACGCCAAGAAAAGCAAATCGGACACCATTGCAGCATCGTCATTGTCAAGAAAAATGACTTACCTTCAAGACATGTTGGACAGATATCCTCCTCTTCCAGTGGATAGATGTTCTCAATTCCAACCGACGTTTTTGTTGACGAGAGTTGTGAGGATTTGGAATGCTGCTCAGTTGAGCCTTGTTCACAAGCATTCCATTTTTCTCCTCTCCTCAAACTCAAAGAATCCGGACCTGCATCATCTTCACCTCTTAAAGGCTCCAATTCCCCTTGTGAATGACTTGAACCCTTCTCAAGTCTTGAAACAAGACCATTACATTGTAAGCGAAAATATCTGGTGTCAGAATCACAAGGCAAGGGCCATGGAGCAGAAAAGTACATGTTAGAAAGTGAGTTGTCTAGTGATGCAGAAGAGTTCATAGATGCTATTCCCTGAATGGATGAAGGGACAGAGTGCAGCTCTCCTCTTTGAAATAACGTGGTACACTACAATTACAGGGACCAAAGAAACAACATAAGGACAAAAAAAATTGGAACTCCATAACTGAAATATTTGAGGACAAAGTTCTGGTCAATTCAGAAACAGGTAACACCAAACATGTTTCCAGTCAACCTCCTCACCCTGCTACTAATCAAACACAGAATTCAGAATGTAACTATCAACTGATAATTTTCAAGATTAGGTTAGTACTTAATGGTCCTTAATTGATTTCAATAGATATATGTCCACTAAAAGGTCAATATAGGCCAATGCTGATGGAATTTGCTAGATTGAGGGCTGGTGTATGGGCATTGTTAGCAGATTTCACTTGCTCCAAGAGCCTATAAAGAGAGTTCTTCAAGAAAAACAGTTTTTAGGCGCTGACATATTAATCAGCTTATTCCATTTTATTTCATGAACATGCAACTAGATTAACACGGCCCAACACACCTCGTAAACCATAAAGGAATTTTCCTGGACTTGGGAAAATTGGTCAATATATTAGCCAGTGCTAATCATATCTTTCAGCTTCTTTCATTCACCAAACCATATCCCTCTCTATCTCTCCCCAAGGTGTCCACAAAAGTATAAGCATGAGACTCGGAAAAAAAGTTAACAAACGACTTTGATTGTATTAACAGTAGAGATGATCTTTAGTAAATTATTACAATGCTCTAAACAAAATTATTGTGGAAATAATAGGCTGATGCCACCCGCATGCGCACAAAAAGAAGAGATAAAAGAGATATATTTCCAAAGAGAAGCCTACTTTTTAACAACATAAAGTGGCATGAAAGGAATAATCAATAGAACCACCACTTTAACGACCGCAAGTGACATGAAAACACTATGATTTGAAGAAATAACAATAGAGCCAAAACAAATGCTTATTGTCAAGTATCAGAAAACATACCGTGTGTATAAAATTCTGAAAGAAGCACCCGAGGCACAAACAATTTCTATAAATATTACTGTTTGGATTCATGTAGTCCTCAAAATCCTCAGCGTGCAAGCAGGAACAAACGGAATCCATAATGTCAACTTTTAAGCTTTCCCTTTCAGTTTAAACTCTCCACGTAACGCAACCACATCAATATGGCTCAACCGTTCTAATTATCCATATATATTTCAAGAACAAAGTTTTTGAAACTAAAAAAAGGCAATAAGAGGGTGCCGAGCTTGAAGAAGTCTCGGGCCGCTCTACCAACCAGAGGCCCCTCTCTTCTATTGACAATATGTTGTCGAATGCCTGTGTATAATTTAGCTAAAAAGATCTTTCTTCAGCTGTAAAATAAAAAATATAAATATAAATATGCCAATATTGTAGATAACAAAAACCTAACGAGTCACCATATGTGAGAGAATTTTGTGGATAACATAAACCAAACTGAACCAGCAATGCCACTAATAAGAGGATCTTCAAAGGCTGCTCCAGAAAAGTTCAAGAGCTATTCCTTGCCATTAAGGACGTCGTTTGCTTTCAACTGAGGGGTAGGAAAACAAATAGAAATGATATTGTTAATTTTTTCCTTTGTAAGAACTGGGATATTTCTTGTTCTTAATTCTTCTTGTAAGTAGAATGCTTCTATAACAGAGCACTGCTATTTGTAGCAGGTTCTGTTTTTGTAACAGACTGATTACTTGGGTAATGAAAATTGATGATTTATAAAAATAAAAATAAAAACTTTCCTTTTTTTTTTGTTATTGAGAAAGCAATAACCATCTTTTAAGGCTTTGTTCATTACGAACAAAAGGGCTCGTTTCTTCAATATTAAGAAGCAGAAATATAAAAAACAGTCGCGATCAATTTGGGAATTAAATGCTATTTATGGAAGTTATTTCTCTTTAAATCAACAGAAGAGGAAACATATAACTAAACCATTCAAATGTTTAAATTTTCATCAAATCAACACCAAAAAGCTAAAGATAACACAGAAACAAGCTTGGAACAATCAAATAAAGGACACCCAATTTGGCTAAAACGAAAGCAGAAAAAAATCAACATCAAAGCACGGAATTTGGTCCAAAACATGCACGAGGTGGGAAAAAAAATGAAAAATTCCCATTTTAGATTAGTCCAAGTGGACATGATTAAACATCCTACACCGATGAAAAAAAAGCTACCTGGATGGAAATTCAGCCGAGTGATAAGGTGAAAATTTTTATTTTATTTATTATATATACATATATATTTACTTATTTAATTTGGTGTGTGTGAAGTGAAGAAGAACAGTGAACCTAGAGCTCCGGAAATCTGGAAAAAAAATATATATATATATATAAAAGGAAAACTAAAAGAAAAAATATGAAAGAGATAGCGACAGAGAAAGCTAAACAAATGTGAAGTGCATTTGATAAGCTGATTTTTAAAGAGAGGAACTAAAAATTGATCCTTTTCTTCTTATAAATTACATAATTTGGACTAGTACTCCAATTATATATATATATATATATAAATAAAGATTAAGATTATTTATCTAATTTGTATCTTTTTTGTTTAATACAAATTGGGTGGAGATGATGTATCCCAGATTCCAATCTTCAACTTTAAGATATTTATGTCAATCTTTTAAAACTTAAGTCAAATATAGATTAATTTTTGTTAATTTATGCTTTTTAACTAATGAGTTAAAAAATCTAATTAATTGGAAAATTAAAAGATACAAACCTATATTAATATTAATTTTGAAGGGGTCTTAGGCAATAATACAATATTAGAATATGATGACCTTATGTTGAGTAAAATAAAGAATATATTAAAGGTTAAAATAAAAATAAATAAGTGGAAAAATTAGAATAATCATTAAAGATAAATTAATAATATTATTTTATTAATCTTTAAACATATATATTATTTTTATAAATTTTAAAGAATTCTTTAAAAAAAACAATACAATTAGTTAATTATGATACAATGTTATGTTATCATGTCATCAAAATTAAAATTATTAATAAAATACTAAAACAGTAAAATAAAATTAAAATTCAGACATCATTTTAAGACAAATTATTTAAAATACTAACTTAAGAGAAGAGGTATACAGTAAAAACTCTTTAAATTAATAATCGGTAAATTAATAAACTCTCTAAAATAATAAATTTGTCCGGTCCCGACTTGGGCCAATGTAAAAAATTGAAAAACTCGATAAAATAATAAGATAATAATTTTTCGTGATATCCTTTTATAATTTTCGGTCTCAAGAAAATCATAAATTAATAATTCATAAAAACTGAAAAAAATATATTACACTCTATTGAAATATGATTCAATAGTTGTCTGTTTTCATTAAAGTTCAAGTCTATTTGGAGCTCATTATTAATTTAACTCATCTTTTGTAACGTAATTCTAAGAGGCATAGACTAATTTGCCTTTGTTTGGTTTGTACAATATAATTACTTAAAAACTCTTTAAATTAATAATTATTAATTTATCAATAAACTAATAACTCTCTAAATTAATAAATTTATCCGGTCCTGACATTATTAATTCATAGAGTTTTAATTGTATTTCATTCAAGTAGGCAATATATATTTAAGTCTTATACATTATATGAACGAATAAACTTAATTTTAAAATTTGTATAATTTGAATAAAAGAAAGGGTGAAGTATAGTAATGGTCACTAAACTTTTCTAAATATTTCATTTAAGTCTCCTAACTTTTAAAACTTGCAATACAGTCCCTCAACATTTAGTCCGTTTGCAATATGATCCCCCAACATTTAGTCCATTTGCAATATGGTCCCCGACGTAACTGTTGGGGACCATATTTGCAAACGGACTAAATGTTTGGGGACTGTATCGCAAGTTTTAAAAGTTGGGGCACTTAAATGAAAACTTTAGAAAAGTTCAGTGACCATTACTATACTTTACCCAAATAATAATTATATATGCCAAAATTAACAATTTCGGTTAAGTTGAAGAGGATTAAAGAAGAGTTATAGTTACAATTACAACCACTTTTCGAATATTAAAATGGCAAAAATATCAGGATAAAATCATACATCCTTTGCCACGTTGGAGAAGGAAAAAAAAAAACACAATGTCCTAACTAAAACATAGATTGATCTTCGTTCCCCTTATAGAATGCTCCAGAGATTAGTGATGAAGAGCAGTAGAAGTAAAGCTCCCCACCATCTTCCTACCAATGGGTTTAAACCATTTGCTTTGTTCTTGCAAATCAACTTATGATCATGGTAACTGCATACTGCTTGATTCCTAAAATCATCAACAACAAAGCCTTGAATTCACAATTGATCAATCAACCACGTAAGTTTATGTCAATATAACTTTGAAAAAGGGTTGTTGAAAGGAATAATGATTTCATTGACTTCATTCTCCAAATTATAGGTAAGTTTCGATATAAATTCCGGGGAAAATAACGAACCGAGTTGAGCAGAAGGTGATGACATAATCTGCTCCAGAACAGATGAAAATACTGGTGGGATCATCATATGCATAACTATAACAAGTAGGGCATGCAGACTTGAACGTCTTGGGATAATACGTAGGTTGACAAGTGGAAGGGTTTCCATGGGTTCCTCTGCAACAATACTCATCTGTGTTGAACACATCGCATGCGCTTCGGCAAGCGATAACCTTCCCGTTGGCCTTGACAGCGAGCTCGGAACGGCAATTTCGCCTCAGGTCGGAGTTGCATCCAGCAGTGGAGCAATTTCCCTTACCTTTTAACGGCGTGACAGATATGGGCACATTAAATCCATCGACGAGACTGACATCGTAAAAATCAAGAGCAGCGAGCGTAAACTCAGCGAGTGTTGCCGGCAGCTCCGCACTTAAGGGTTTCGCCACGGTCCCCAGTCTGGCATGGACCATTTCCATTTCTGTCGAACTTGCAACCGCTTCGACCCCATATGCGACCACTCCAGCCAGCCGGGGCGTTGAAGACAACAGATTGGTGTGGTTTCAATTCAATACCCCCACCATTAAAGCTTTCACCGGGGATAATCCCAGGCCAGATAGTTTCCTTGCAGTTGTTTATTATGGTGAAGGTTCTTGCACATTCATAGAGTTGTATCCCTGCCGAAAAGCACTATTGAAATCCGAAAGAACACCTAAATGTAGCCATGTATCATATAAATAAGAGGGGAGAAATTATGAATTACCTGATGAACATGAAAGCAATAACAGTTTGAATAGAAGAGGTGAAAGCAGATCCATTGGTTAGAAGATTGAGATTACAGTGAGTAGGGAGGAAAGGTAATTCCATGATTAGAGGCTACACGATTCTTTTTCCTAATCCTTATTGCCACGATATCCGCATCTACGGTATAGGCTACTCATCAGTACATTTTCCATCACTATAAAAATAAGGGTAAAGTATAGTAATTATCACTGAACTTTTCTAAAGCTTTCATTTAGGTCCCCAACTTTTAAAACTTACAATACAGTCTCACAATAACATTTAGTCCGTTTGCAATATGGTCCCCGATGTAACTGTTGGGGGACCATATTGCAAACGGACTAAATGTTGGGGGACTATATTGTAACTTTTTAAAGTTGGGTGACCTAAATGAAAGCTTTAGAAAAGTTCAGTGACCATTACTATATTTTACCCTAAAAGAAAATGGCAGAAACGATGCCGTATGGAGCGAGCGGGACTTCTATTTAAGACTTTTTTGGTTTGTTAAATTGCTCCTTCGAGTTTGATGTCCCAAAAAAACAAGGGTTAAAAAAGCGTAACTAAATTACAATACTGTCATCCTACCAGCTTTGTTTACATTACAGCCTTGCCTTCATCTCCCCCCTTTGCCGGCCAAATTGGCTTTCTCATCACCAGATCTATCGAAGTCCCTTCATTTCAGGTTCCCAGTTGATCCCTGATGTCAGTTTAGTCAACAATTTCACTTTTTTTGGAATTGAATCCAAAATGCAGAGCTCAAATGTGCAGCCAGAAGTTATACTGGAATGGCTGCAAAAGGAAATGGGTTACCGTCCCTTGGGACCCTACAATTCTTCTTCCAACAAGTCGAATTTACCTTCAATCGATTCGCTCCGTAAGATTTGTAGAGGGAATATGTTACCCCTTGGCATTTCTTGTTAACTCGCGTTAAATCCGAGAAAACCGTCCAAAATATCCGGAAGAACATCA